CGATCTCGGCTCACCGCAACCTCCGCCTCCTGGGTTCAGGCAATTCTTCTGCCTCAGCCTCCTGAGTAGCTGGGATTACAGGCATGCATCACCATGCCCAGCTAATTTTTTGTATTTTGAGTAGAGACGGGGTTTCACCATGTTGACCAGGATGGTCTCGATCTCTTGACCTTGTGATCCACCCGCCTCGGCCTCCCAAAGTGCTGGGATTACAGGCTTGAGCCACCACGCCCGGCTGCGAAACTCTGTCTTAAAAAAAAAAAAAAAGAATTTGTTGAAAAGTATGTTTTATTTTCATATTTTTTTAGTTTTGCTTTTAATTCCTAGTTTTACGCAATGTTGGTCAAAAAACACAGCGTATAGTTTTGGCCTTCTTAAATTTATTGGCTGTAGTCGTTGTTTTGAGACAGGATCTTACTCTGCTGCCCATACTGGAATGCAGTGGCATGATTTTGGCTCACTGCAGCCTCAAATTCCTGGGCTCAAGTGATCCTTCAGCCGCAGCCCCTAAAGTAGCTGGGTATACAGACATGCACTACATTCCTGGCTAATTTTTTTTTTAATTATTTGTTGAGACAGGGCCCCACTCTGTTGCCCTGGCTAGTCTCAAACTTCTGACCCCAAGTGATCCTCCTACCTTTGTTTCCCAAATTTTGGGATTATAGCCAATAAACCGCTGTACCCAGCTGGTATTCTTAAATTTAATAAAACTTGGTATTCATCCTAATAGAATACACAAATTGCAAATAAGAATATTGTGTAGTCTCTTGCTTTTTACTAGAAAGGTTTGTATGAGTCTGTTAAGTATACTTTGTCTGTGATATGGTTTGGATGTCCATGTTTCTAAACCTCATGCTGCAATGTAATCTTCAATGTTGGATGTGGGACCTGGAAAGAGGTGTTTTTGTTATGGGGGTGAATTCTTCATGAATGGCTTGGCACCATCCTCTTAGTAATAAAAAAGTTTACCCTCAGCTGGGCGCGGTGACTCACGTTTGTAGCCCCAGAACTTTGGGAGGCCGAGGTCGGCAGATCACCTGAGATCAGGAGTTTGGGACCAGCCTTGCCAACATAGTGAAACCCTGTCTCTACTGAAAATAAAAAAGTTAGTTGGGTGTGGTGGCATGCGCCTGTAGTCCCAGCTACCTGGAGGCTGAGGCGGGAGAATCACCTGAACCTGGAAGGCGGAGGGTGCAGTGAGCTGAGATCGCGCCACTGGCACCGCAGCCTGGATGGCAGAATGAGACTTCATCTGAAAAAAAAAAAAACAGTTTACACTCTGTTACACTCAAAAGACTGTTGGTTCATTGAAAGAACCTGGCTCCTTCACCTCACACTTTCTCTATTACCATGTGGTATTTCCATTCTTTTCCTTCCACCATAACAGTAAGCTTCCTGAGACCCTCACCAGAAGCAGGTGCTGGCACATGCTTCTTGTACAGTCTGCCAAATTGTGAGCAAAATAAACCTTTTTTCTTTATAGATTATCCACTCTCAGGTATTCCCCTATATGCAAAATAATTGGAGTTGGCAATTTACTTCTAAAGGCACTATATTATGTTGGAGAGCAGAAAAAACTGTTTTGGGTAAATGTAACCAATTTATCTTTTCTTTCTATGTGGCTCTTTGTGTTGAGCTCACCTGGGGCACTTCACTGATTTATACATTTTTCACCAGTGCATTTTGATCAGTATGTTTTTGTTACATATATGCCTATAAATAAATAAGGGCCTGTGGTATTTTTCTGTGCCATCTTGCTTATGCACCTTGTATAATTTTATGTGTTAAATATACTAAGTATATTTATTGCTGAGTCTAGCAAGTGGAATAATTTGTTATTTTTATTTTTTTCAGTTACGTGTTCTCATTTTGCCCAAGACTTTTGGCCAGAACAACATCTAAAAGATCCTTTCCAAAAAGTGACACTAAGATATAAAAACTGTGAACATAAAAATTTACATTTAAAAAAAGACTGTAAAAGTGTGGATGAGTGTAAGATGCACAGAGAAGGTTATAATGGATTTAACCAATGTTTGCCAACTACCCAGAGAAAAACATTTCTATTTGATAAATGTGTGAAAGCCTTTCATAAATTTTCAAATTCAAACAGACATAAGATAAGCCATACTGAAAAAAAACTTTTCAAATGTAAAGAATGTGGCAAATCATTTTGCATGCTTTCACATCTAACTCAACATAAAATAATTCATACGAGAGTGAATTTCTGCAAATGTGAAAAATGTGGAAAAGCCTTTAAGTGGCCTTCAATCATCACTAAACGTAAGAGAATTTGTAGTGCGGAGAAACCCTACACATGTGATAAATGTGGAAAAGCCTTGAACAGGTCCTCACGCCTTACTACACATAAAAAAATTGATACTGGACACAAACTCTACAAATGTGAAGAATGTGGCAAAGCCTTTAACTGGCCCTCAACTCTTACTAAGCATCAGAGAATTCATACAGGAGAGAAACCCTACACATGTGAAGAATGTGGCAAAGCCTTTAACCAGTTCTCAAACCTTACTACACATAAGAGAATCCATACTGCAGAGAAATTCTACAAATGTACAGAATGTGGTGAAGCTTTTAGCCGGTCCTCAAACCTTACTAAACATAAGAAAATTCATACTGAAAAGAAACCTTACAAATGTGAAGAATGTGGCAAAGCTTTTAAGTGGTCCTCAAAGCTTACCGAACATAAGTTAACTCATACTGGAGAGAAACCCTACAAATGTGAAGAATGTGGCAAAGCCTTTAACTGGCCCTCAACCCTGACTAAACATAACAGAATTCATACTGGAGAGAAACCCTACAAATGTGAAGAATGTGGCAAGGCCTTTAATCAGTTCTCAAATCTTACTACACATAAGAGAATTCATACTGCAGAGAAACCCTACAAATGTGAAGAATGCGGCAAAGCTTTTAGCCGGTCCTCAAACCTTACTAAACATAAGAAAATTCACATTGAAAAGAAACCCTACAAATGTGAAGAATGTGGCAAAGCTTTTAAGTGGTCCTCAAAGCTTACCGAACATAAGATAACTCATACTGGGGAGAAACCCTACAAATGTGAAGAATGTGGCAAAGCTTTTAACCATTTCTCAATTCTTACCAAACATAAGAGAATTCACACTGGAGAGAAACCCTACAAGTGTGAAGAATGTGGCAAAGCTTTTACCCAATCCTCAAACCTTACTACACATAAGAAAATTCATACTGGAGAGAAATTATACAAATGTGAAGAATGTGGCAAAGCTTTTACCCAATCTTCAAACCTTACTACACATAAAAAAATTCATACTGGAGGAAAACCCTACAAATGTGAAGAATGCGGCAAAGCTTTTAACCAGTTCTCAACTCTTAGTAAACATAAGATAATTCACACTGAAGAGAAACCCTACAAATGTGAAAAATGTGGCAAAGCCTTTAAGTGGTCCTCAACCCTTACTAAACATAAGAAGATTCATACTGGAGAGAAACCCTACAAATGTGAAGAATGTGGCAAAGCTTTTAAACTATCCTCAACCCTTTCTACACATAAGATTATTCATACTGGAGAGAAACCCTTCAAATGTGAAAAATGTGGTAAAGCTTTTAACCGATCCTCAAACCTTATTGAACATAAAAAAATTCATACTGGAGACCAACCCTACAAATGTGATCAGTGTGGCAAAGCATTTAACTATTCCTCACACCTTAATACACATAAGAGAATTCATACTAAAGAGCAACCCTACAAATGTAAAGAATGTGGCAAAGCTTTCAACCAATATTCAAACCTTACTACACATAACAGAATTCATGCTGGAGAGAAACTTAACAAACCTGAAGCTGTGACAGTGATTTCGACAACACCGCAAACTTTATAAAACATAAATTATACTGGTGTGAAATCCTAGAAATGTAAAGAATGTGACAAAGCCTTTAAATGGTTGTCACACTTGATTGTAGGTAAAGTCATATATATTGGAGTAAACAACTACAAGTATGAAGAACGTGGCAAAACTTTTAATTCTCATACCTTATTGTATGGGAAATAATTTTTATTTCAGAAAAGGTGTACACACAGAAGAATGGAAAAACCGTTAATATCTGCTCATATCTTACTCAACATTAGAGAGTCTGCACTTAATAAAACCATTATAAATGCAATTAGTGTCAAAAGCTCAGAAAATATAGCCCTTTAAAGTGAAGAGGAGTATTCTGAAGACAAACATTACAAATATAAAGAGGGCTATCGTACCATTATTTGTATCACCGATCTTACACACATTTTGTACTAGAGAAAACCCTGAAGCAGTTGCTTAAATATTGTTCAACATCAGAAAATTTATATTGGAGGAAACCCCTGGAAATGTAATAAATTTATAAAAACAGTTTTAAAAATGTATAGCTTATAAAACATAAGAGTCTGTAATACAGTACTTGGTTTATGTTACAAACTTTGTTCAATATAAGGGAATTTATATTACAGAGAAACCCTACCAGTGTAATAAGTTTGGAAAAACATGTTTCAAAAACCACAGCATAAAAAATACCAGAGGGGGCCGGGCGCGGTGGCTCAAGCCTGTAATCCCAGCACTTTGGGAGGCCGAGGCGGGTGGATCACGAGGTCAAGAGATCGAGACCATCCTGGTCAACACGGTGAAACCCCGTCTCTACTAAAAATACAAAAAATTAGCTGGGCATGGTGGCGCGTGCCTGTAATCCCAGCTACTCAGGAGGCTGAGGCAGGAGAATTGCCTGAACCCAGGAGGCGGAGGCTGCGGTGAGCCGAGATCGCGCCATTGCACTCCAGCCTGGGTAACAAGAGCGAAACTCCGTCCCAAAAAAAAAAAAAAAAATACCAGAGGGTTCATACTAAAATATATTGTAGCTGCAGTAAATATGAAAAAATGTTAATCCAAAATTTATATAAATGTCAGAGAATTCACAGTAGAGATACCTAAGGCACTGACACTTCAGACATTACACTAAATCAGTGCTGAGTATAGAAAACAATACAAACTAAAAATGAGTGGATAAATTATTTGTATATAACATTAAAAGAAGTAGAACATTTTCAGAGTTATAATTACATTTAAAGTACAGTTTCATCTTGAAAAACTTACAGATTTTTAGTGAGTAATGATGAAATAAAACTCAACTTTATGCTGTTTCTTCATTCCTCCTGTATTCACATGTGAAAGCATGTGACCAATTGTTGCTGCATCAAAGATATGAGAGATTATTAGGTGGGCATTATGTAAAACATTTTTTGTGGAACAGTAAGGATATTAAAATGTAAGATACAGCTGGGCACAGTAGCTCACGTTTGTAATTCCAACACTTTGGGAGGCTGAGATGAGTGGATCACCTGAGGTCAGGAGTTTGACACCAGCCTCACCAACATGGCAAAACCCTGTCTCTACTAAAAATAAAAAAATTGGCCAGGTGTGGTGGTACATCCCTGTAATCCCAGCTACTTGGGAGACTAACACAGGGAAATCACTTGAATGTGTAAGTCAAAGGTCACAGCCTAAATCATACCATTGCACTTCAACCTGGGCAACAAAAGTGAAACTCAGTCTTAAAAAAAATGTAACATGCGTGATGAAAAGGTAATTGGAGAGGCTCTTTTTTGGGAAACTTAGTAGTGATGCATGAGGTAGGTTTTCAGAGTAATATTCTTCTGCATTATAGTGAGAAAACATATTTTAGTTTAAATTAGTTAAATTAGTATATATCATTTTATTTAATGTAATTTTATGTAATTAAATGAAGTACATTTAAAAATTTTTAGATTACATGTAAACATAACTTTTTAATGTAGTAAGATCCTTGTGCATTAATGAAGCATCACTATGCTTCTAACTAACCTATTCCACCTTACTCAAGGTGTATGTAAAAGATGGTAACAATATACTGTTTGGTAACATGATGGACTATAACGTTTCTAGTAATCTCTTTCACCAGTGGCTTTCATCTGCAAATAAGTTAAAAAATGTTTCCATGGGATAAATTTTTTTTGTCTTATTTAAACTTAGTGTTCTTAATTTCTGTGGGTACATAGTATGTGTATATGCTTATGCAATATATGACATATTTTGATGCAGGCATATAATATGTGTTAGTCACATGAGGATATATAAAATTCCATTACCTTCAGCCTTTATCCTTTGTATTACAAGCCAATCTTAGACTTTTCATTATTTTAATGTACAATTGTTATTAACTAAAGTATCATTTTAATTATACAAATTATATAGAATAAATAAAATCCATACATTTCTGTCATGAATAAACATGAAAAAAGTTACATATTTTTATTTGAGTATGTGGCTGCTCTGCCTCCAAATACATACAGTTTAGTTTTTATTTACATAGAGTTAAATATACACAAACATTAAAGATAAACATTAGGTGTAAGAAAATGGAGAATCCGTGTCACAGCACCAAAAAAAAAAGAGAAAATTATGGAGCAAGTAACTTTATTTTTTTTTTCTTTTATACTTTTTTTTTTTTTTGAGACGAAGTTTCGCTCTTGTTACCCAGGCTGGAGTGCAATGGCGCGATCTCGGCTCACCGCAACCTCCGCCTCCTGGGTTCAGGCAATTCTCCTGCCTCAGCCTCCTGAGTAGCTGGGATTACAGGCACACGCCACCATGCCCAGCTGAATTTTTGTATTTGTAGTAGAGACGGGGTTTCACCATGTTGACCAGGATGGTCTCGATCTCTTGACCTCGTGATCCACCCGCCTCGGCCTCCCAAAGTGCTGGGATTACAGGCTTGAGCCATTTCTTTTATACTTTATGAAGTTTCATTATGTGAGCTGAACGGGGTGGATTATAAGAATGATTTTTATGAAATTTAGTTGTGCACACAAAATAATTTTTAGATGCAATTCCGCAATTCATGTTTTAAGTTATATCTTATTTAGTTAGAACATTCTCTTTTGTTCCTTTAATTGGAGAAGTCTATATAAACCTACTTTAGTTATTCATTTCACTTTCTATAATTGACATGTAAATATATTTATTTATTGAGCTAATTAGTTCAGGTAGGTACTAGGGAGGCTTCAGAAGTTAGGAGGATTTGTTTTTTGTTTTTTTTATGAGATGGAGTCTCCCTCTGTCGCCCAGGCTGGAGTGCAGTGGTGGGATCTCAGCTCTGCAACCTCTGCCTCCCAGGTTCAAAGGATTCTCCTTCCTCAGCCTCAGGAGTAGCTGGAACTACAGGCACATTCCATCACGGCTGGCTAAATTTTTTTGTATTTCTAGTACAGACGGGTTTCACCATGTTGGCCAGGATGGTCTCCATCTCCTGACCTCGTGATCTGCCTGCCTCTGCCTCCCAAAGTGCTGGGATTACCGCCATGAGCCACCGCGCTCGCCTTATGAAGATGTTTTCATACAAAAATGTAGCAAACAAGCGTGACAAAGCTTGCTGTGTAACAGATTGTCCATAGTAAGCCAAAAATATTTCTGCTGGAGTTAGTTTGTAACTTCAAGTCAGAAATGGAAAATATCAATGGTGAAGAAATAATGCTAGACCGGGCGCGGTGGCTCACGCCTGTAATCTCAGCATTTTGGGAGGCCGAGGCGGGTGGATCACGAGGTCAAGAGATCGAGACCACCCTGGTCAACATGGTGAAACCCCGTCTCTACCAAAAATGCAAAAAATTAGCTGGGCATGGTGGTGCGTGCCTGT